GGTCCTTTCGTTAAGAGGGTGTAACTACCTGAGGATAAGTGGTCGGTAACTTTGGTTATGTATTGATCGTGAGTCAGTACAACAGTGGCGTTGCCCCCTATCAGCAGGAAGAAATTTCAATTCAGATTTCTTAGATTTTAAAGATTTAAGAGCGGTACGTTGTTGTGGAGTCAAATTGTCGGTGGTCATGTCACGTTATTGTCAAATTTAGATAATACAGAGGTGACCTGATATGTGGCTGAGGCTTCCATGCCTCTCCTAGTTGTTTAGTGATATTCTGTATGAGGGAGCAGGTCGGGGGTAGGGTCTGAGGTGGGTGTCGGGACAAACTTCAGTCCAAGGGAGAGGACGTCAGTTTCAGCTGTGGAGAGGGTCTGTCCAGAGAGGTTGATCACTGTTTTGGCTGTGTTGTCTTTCTTGGGGGTAGGTGAGGTCTTGAGGAGAGGACCATGAAATGTGGGAGAGGGTATGTCGAGCGTTTTAAGAGTGTCGTAGGGTGAGAGGAAGGGGGTGTCGTATTCTGAGAGTAGTACCGCGAACTTCTTTTGGTGAGTAAGGAGTTGTTTTCTGTGGGTGTATGAAGATTTTTTGGTGTTGAGGTGTCCTAGTTTCTGAAAATATTGAGGGGTTATGAGTGATTCTATGTGTCTGAGGTTGTGCTCATAAGTGCGTTTGTGTTGTGCATATTTGAGGCGATAGTGGTTGAGTCTTTCAGTGATGAGGAGGTTAGATGCGTGAGTGAGGACTTCAGTTGAGCGTTTGGTGGATAGTGGGTGGTGAGTCTGAGTCCCTTAGGGATGAGTGAGTGATCACGGCAGGCTTTCAGGAATGATATGTGACATGAGTTAATGGCCATGTGTTCTATGCTGTGAGAGGTGGTTTTGGCCAGTGTGGATGCATGCTGTCCAAATAGTGATATGAGTGAGTCATTAAATGAAAGTTGGGTGGTAGGATTGATGTGTTGATTAGGTGTTTCTGTGGATTCTGCACTGTTTGCTGTCTGATCCATAGGGGTGGAGTTGCGTATCAAAATAAAACTGAGTGGAGTTGGGTTAGAAACATATAAGAGATACGATGATTTAACTTGTAGAAGCTTTCAATAAACATGTGTTAATCGTCGTCAGCTGAATGTGATGTGGTGGACATGCTTATATGTGATTGAGTGGTGTCAGGGATGGAGGGTGGGGGAGGTATGGGTGGGAAAGTGAAATTACAGTACAATGTCAATAAAAATTTAGTCTTCTGTTGAGGTTGAGAAGGAAATGCCAGATGGTCTGGACTTTAAGGATTTGGCAATTTTAGGAAGAATGGGGTCCCAATCTAAACGTTTATGGTACGTTTTTCAACGCTAACAGTTATTTTGCAACATAGTTTTTCATTCGGTACTCATTTCTATCTCACAGCCAAATTTCAAATTCAATTCATACCAGATAAAACTAAATGATAATAGGATGCGAGTGTCATAGATTTCAAATAAGAGAGTATTCATTTATCAAAACTTACTTCAGATGTTGAATCAGTGGATAAAGAAGTGAAGAAAGGCTCTGATACAACCATATCCTGTGTTATCACTGGATTGACAGAATCAGCAACAGTGACCTGGCAAACTAGTACAGGAGCAGTTCCAGCTGAAAAGTTCACCCCTGTCCAAGGAAGCCATTCTGGAGGGAAACAAACATCAACTCTTGAAGTAGACGGAAGTCTTGTGAATGAACATACTGCCTACACTTGCAGAGTCACTTCCGGATCTTTGCCCAATTCCAGCCACTCAGATACCACCGTCAATCTAAACGTTTATGGTACGTTTTTCAACGCTAACAGTTATCTTGCAACAGAGTTTTTCATTCGGTACTCATTTCTATCTCACAGCCAAATTTCAAATTCAATTCATACCAGATAAACTAAATGATAATAGGATGCGAGTCAGAATAAAACAAATATTCAGAATAAAACAAATATTATATTCAAATCTCTTTATTCAACAATATTAAATCATTACAGAACCTAATTTGTGGCTTGATCGTTATGTTAGGGCTATTTTGTTAGCTGATGCTGACAGGCACCGCATGGGGCAGAGACTTAGAACCATTACGCTGGAGGCTTACAATGACCCTTTTTGAACCCCATGGCAGTGCAAGTTTTATTATGGTACAAATTGTAAATCGAAGTTGTGAAAACGATCAAGTCACTCCTGTTTTACACTATCAACAGCTACTTAAAACAACCTAGATTGTACAACTCACTTTGAAGATTAAACTGTTAAGTGATGAGTGATTGGGCTCATCAAACATTTTAGTAGCGGAGACATGCGGATCAGCTTCTTGAGGTTCTAATAGTTCATTTAGACAAGAAGTTTTACTTTTTCAAATTTAGTCGTTCAAGCTGCCTGAGTTCAGAAAGTTTGCCAAAGGGGCCAGGTATTCTTGTCACCTTTACCCTGAGACGAGAGAATGACTTTTTTACCTTTGATTTGAATACACCATGAGTGATTTTAAGGTCGTGTCATAGATTTCGAATAAGAGAGTATTCATTTATCAAAACTTACTTCAGATGTTGAATCAGTGGATAAAGAAGTGAAGAAAGGCTCTGATACAACCATATCCTGTGTTATCACTGGATTGACAGAAACAGCAACAGTGACCTGGCAAACTAGTACAGGCGAAGTTTCAGGTGATAAGCTCGTCCCTGTCCAAGGAAGCCAATCTGGAGGGACACAAATATCAACTCTTGAAGTAGACGGAAGTCTTGTGAATGAAGATACTGCCTACACTTGCAGAGTCACTTCCGGATCTTTGCCGATTCCAGCCACTCGGATACTACCGTCAATCTTAACGTTTATGGTACGTTCAACGCTAACAGTTATCTTGCAATACAGTTTTTCATTCGGTACTCATTTCTATCTCACAGCCAAATTTCAAATTCAATTCATACCAGATAAACTAAATGATAATAGGATGCGAGTGTCATAGATTTTGAATAAGAGAGTATTCATTTATTAAAACTTACTTCAGATGTTGAATCAGTGGATAAAGAAGTGAAGAGAGGCTCTGATACAACCATATCCTGTGTTATCACTGGATTGACAGAAACAGCAACAGTGACCTGGCAAACTAGTACAGGAGCAGTTTCAGGTGAAAAGTTCACCCCTGTCCAAGGAAGCCATTCTGGAGGGAAACAAACATCAACTCTTGAAGTAGACGGAAGTCTTGTGAATGAAGATACTGCCTACACTTGCAGAGTCACTTCCGGATCTTTGCCCGATTCCAGCCACTCAGAGACCACCGTCAATCTAAACGTTTATGGTACATTTTTCAACGCTAACAGTTATCTTGCAACATAGTTTTTCATTCGGTACTCATTTCTATCTCACAGCCAAATTTCAAATTCAATTCATACCAGATAAACTAAATGATAATAGGATGCGAGTGTCATAGATTTCGAATAAGAGAGTATTCATTTATCAAAACTTACTTCAGATGTTGAATCAGTGGATAAAGAAGTGAAGAAAGGCTCTGATACAACCATATCCTGTGTTATCACTGGATTGACAGAATCAGCAACAGTGACCTGGCAAACTAGTACAGGAGCAGTTCCAGCTGAAAAGTTCACCCCTGTCCAAGGAAGCCATTCTGGAGGGAAACAAACATCAACTCTTGAAGTAGACGGAAGTCTTGTGAATGAAGATACTGCCTACACTTGCAGAGTCACTTCCGGATCTTTGCCCGATTCCAGCCACTCAGATACCACCGTCAATCTAAACGTTTATGGTACGTTTTTCAACGCTAACAGTTATCTTGCAACATAGTTTTTCATTCGGTACTCATTTCTATCTCACAGCCAAATTTCAAATTCAATTCATACCAGATAAACTAAATGATAATAGGATGCGAGTGTCATAGATTTCGAATAAGAGAGTATTCATTTATCAAAACTTACTTCAGATGTTGAATCAGTGGATAAAGAAGTGAAGAAAGGCTCTGATACAACCATATCCTGTGTTATCACTGGATTGACAGAAACAATAACAGTGACCTGGCGAACTAGTACAGGAGCAGTTCCAGCAGGAAAGTTCAACCCTGTCCAAGGAAGCCCTTCTGGAGGGAAACAAACATCAACTCTTGAAGTAGACGGAAGTCTTGTGAATGAAGATACTGCCTACACTTGCAGAGTCACTTCCGGATCTTTGCCCGATTCCAGCCACTCAGATACCACCGTCAATTTAAACGTTTATGGTACGTTTTTCAACGCTAACAGTTATCTTGCAACATAGTTTTTCTGTCAATCCAGTGATAACACAGGATATGGTTGTATCAGAGCCTTTCTTCACTTCTTTATCCACTGATTCAACATCTGAAGTAAGTTTTGATAAATGAATACTCTCTTATTCGAAATCTATGACACTCGCATCCTATTATCATTTAGTTTATCTGGTATGAATTGAATTTGAAATTTGGCTGTGAGATAAAAATGAGTACCGAATGAAAAACTATGTTGCAAGATAACTGTTAGCGTTGAAAAACGTACCATAAACGTTTAAATTGACGGTGGTATCTGAGTGGCTGGAATCGGGCAAAGATCCGGAAGTGACTCTGCAAGTGTAGGCAGTATCTTCATTCACAAGACTTCCGTCTACTTCAAGAGTTGATGTTTGTTTCCCTCCAGAAGGGCTTCCTTGGACAGGGTTGAACTTTCCTGCTGGAACTGCTCCTGTACTAGTTCGCCAGGTCACTGTTATTGTTTCTGTCAATCCAGTGATAACACAGGATATGGTTGTATCAGAGCCTTTCTTCACTTCTTTATCCACTGATTCAACATCTGAAGTAAGTTTTGATAAATGAATACTCTCTTATTCGAAATCTATGACACTCGCATCCTATTATCATTTAGTTTATCTGGTATGAATTGAATTTGAAATTTGGCTGTGAGATAGAAATGAGTACCGAATGAAAAACTATGTTGCAAGATAACTGTTAGCGTTGAAAAACGTACCATAAACGTTTAGATTGACGGTGGTATCTGAGTGGCTGGAATCGGGCAAAGATCCGGAAGTGACTCTGCAAGTGTAGGCAGTATCTTCATTCACAAGACTTCCGTCTACTTCAAGAGTTGATGTTTGTTTCCCTCCAGAATGGCTTCCTTGGACAGGGGTGAACTTTTCAGCTGGAACTGCTCCTGTACTAGTTTGCCAGGTCACTGTTGCTGATTCTGTCAATCCAGTGATAACACAGGATATGGTTGTATCAGAGCCTTTCTTCACTTCTTTATCCACTGATTCAACATCTGAAGTAAGTTTTGATAAATGAATACTCTCTTATTCGAAATCTATGACACTCGCATCCTATTATCATTTAGTTTATCTGGTATGAATTGAATTTGAAATTTGGCTGTGAGATAGAAATGAGTACCGAATGAAAAACTATGTTGCAAGATAACTGTTAGCGTTGAAAAATGTACCATAAACGTTTAGATTGACGGTGGTCTCTGAGTGGCTGGAATCGGGCAAAGATCCGGAAGTGACTCTGCAAGTGTAGGCAGTATCTTCATTCACAAGACTTCCGTCTACTTCAAGAGTTGATGTTTGTTTCCCTCCAGAATGGCTTCCTTGGACAGGGGTGAACTTTTCACCTGAAACTGCTCCTGTACTAGTTTGCCAGGTCACTGTTGCTGTTTCTGTCAATCCAGTGATAACACAGGATATGGTTGTATCAGAGCCTCTCTTCACTTCTTTATCCACTGATTCAACATCTGAAGTAAGTTTTAATAAATGAATACTCTCTTATTCAAAATCTATGACACTCGCATCCTATTATCATTTAGTTTATCTGGTATGAATTGAATTTGTAATGTGGCTGTGAGATAGAAATGAGTACCAAATGAAAAACAGCATTGCAAGATAACTGTTAGCGTTGAAAAACGTACCATAAACGTTAAGATTGACGGTGGTATCTGAGTGGCTGGAATCGGGCAAAGATCCGGAAGTGACTCTGCAAGTGTAGGCAGTATCTTCATTCACAAGACTTCCGTCTACTTCAAGAGTTGATATTTGTGTCCCTCCAGATTGGCTTCCTTGGACAGGGACGAGCTTATCACCTGAAACTTCGCCTGTACTAGTTTGCCAGGTCACTGTTGCTGTTTCTGTCAATCCAGTGATAACACAGGATATGGTTGTATCAGAGCCTTTCTTCACTTCTTTATCCACTGATTCAACATCTGAAGTAAGTTTTGATAAATGAATACTCTCTTATTCGAAATCTATAACACGACCTTAAAATCACTCATGGTGTATTCAAATCAAAGGTAAAAAAGTCATTCTCTCGTCTCAGGGTAAAGGTGACAAGAATACCTGGCCCCTTTGGCAAACTTTCTGAACTCAGGCAGCTTGAACGACTAAATTTGAAAAAGTAAAACTTCTTGTCTAAATGAACTATTAGAACCTCAAGAAGCTGATCCGCATGTCTCCGCTACTAAAATGTTTGATGAGCCCAATCACTCATCACTTAACAGTTTAATCTTCAAAGTGAGTTGTACAATCTAGGTTGTTTTAAGTAGCTGTTGATAGTGTAAAACAGGAGTGACTTGATCGTTTTCACAACTTCGATTTACAATTTGTACCATAATAAAACTTGCACTGCCATGGGGTTCAAAAAGGGTCATTGTAAGCCTCCAGCGTAATGGTTCTAAGTCTCTGCCCCATGCGGTGCCTGTCAGCATCAGCTAACAAAATAGCCCTAACATAACGATCAAGCCACAAATTAGGTTCTGTAATGATTTAATATTGTTGAATAAAGAGATTTGAATATAATATTTGTTTTATTCTGAATATTTGTTTTATTCTGACTCGCATCCTATTATCATTTAGTTTATCTGGTATGAATTGAATTTGAAATTTGGCTGTGAGATAGAAATGAGTACCGAATGAAAAACTCTATTGCAAGATAACTGTTAGCGTTGAAAAACGTACCATAAACGTTTAGATTGACGGTGGTATCTGAGTGGCTGGAATTGGGCAAAGATCCGGAAGTGACTCTGCAAGTGTAGGCAGTATGTTCATTCACAAGACTTCCGTCTACTTCAAGAGTTGATGTTTGTTTCCCTCCAGAATGGCTTCCTTGGACAGGGGTGAACTTTTCAGCTGGAACTGCTCCTGTACTAGTTTGCCAGGTCACTGTTGCTGATTCTGTCAATCCAGTGATAACACAGGATATGGTTGTATCAGAGCCTTTCTTCACTTCTTTATCCACTGATTCAACATCTGAAGTAAGTTTTGATAAATGAATACTCTCTCATTTGAAATCTATGACACTCGCATCCTATTATCATTTAGTTTATCTGGTATGAATTGAATTTGAAATTTGGCTGTGAGATAGAAATGAGTACCGAATGAAAAACTATGTTGCAAAATAACTGTTAGCGTTGAAAAACGTACCATAAACGTTTAGATTGGGACCCCATTCTTCCTAAAATTGCCAAATCCTTAAAGTCCAGACCATCTGGCATTTCCTTCTCAACCTCAACAGAAGACTAAATTTTTATTGACATTGTACTGTAATTTTCACTTTCCCACCCATACCTCCCCCACCCTCCATCCCTGACACCACTCAATCACATATAAGCATTGTCCACCACATCACATTCAGCTGACGACGATTAACACATGTTTATTGAAAGCTTCTACAAGTTAAATCATCGTATCTCTTATATGTTTCTAACCCAACTCCACTCAGTTTTATTTTGATACGCAACTCCACCCCTATGGATCAGACAGCAAACAGTGCAGAATCCACAGAAACACCTAATCAACACATCAATCCTACCACCCAACTTTCATTTAATGACTCACTCATATCACTATTTGGACAGCATGCATCCACACTGGCCAAAACCACCTCTCACAGCATAGAACACATGGCCATTAACTCATGTCACATATCATTCCTGAAAGCCTGCCGTGATCACTCACTCATCCCTAAGGGACTCAGACTCACCAACCCACTATCCACCAAACGCTCAACTGAAGTCCTCACTCACGCATCTAACCTCCTCATCACTGAAAGACTCAACCACTATCGCCTCAAATATGCACAACACAAACGCACTTATGAGCACAACCTCAGACACATAGAATCACTCATAACCCCTCAATATTTTCAGAAACTAGGACACCTCAACACCAAAAAATCTTCATACACCCACAGAAAACAACTCCTTACTCACCAAAAGAAGTTCGCGGTACTACTCTCAGAATACGACACCCCCTTCCTCTCACCCTACGACACTCTTAAAACGCTCGACATACCCTCTCCCACATTTCATGGTCCTCTCCTCAAGACCTCACCTACCCCCAAGAAAGACAACACAGCCAAAACAGTGATCAACCTCTCTGGACAGACCCTCTCCACAGCTGAAACTGACGTCCTCTCCCTTGGACTGAAGTTTGTCCCGACACCCACCTCAGACCCTACCCCCGACCTGGCTCCCCTCATACAGAATATCACTAAACAACTAGGAGAAGGCATGGAAGCCTCAGCCACATATCAGGTCACCTCTGTATTATCTAAATTTGACAATAAACGTGACATGACCACCGACAATTTGACTCCACAACAACGTACCGCTCTTAAATCTTTAAAATCTAAGAAATCTGAATTGAAATTTCTTCCTGCTGATAAGGGCAACGCCACTGTTGTACTGACTCACGATCAATACATAACCAAAGTTACCGACCACTTATCCTCAGGTAGTTACACCCTCTTAACGAAAGACCCCACTCAATCCGTCACCACTAAACTACAGAAAGTCCTCAAGAAACTACACACCGACAAGAAGATCACGACCGACCTTTACCACAAGATGCGCAACCTACATCCTAGATGGCCTCAACTTTACGGACAACCTAAGATACACAAACCCGGCGCACCTATCCGTCCCGTAGTCAGCTTCTACAACACCCCCCTACAAGCCCTCCACAAAGTCCTCGCTTCTTTCCTCAAACCCCTAGCCCAGAACCCCTTACGCCTCAAAGACTCTTCCGACTTCAAACACCGCTTCGACTCCTCTCTCAATCCCTCCTTCCACTACCACGCCTCCTTAGACGTCCAATCCTTGTACACCTCCTGTGACATGCGCCTAGCCCTCAAAACTGTCATCTCCTCCTTTGAACAGAACCCCTCTCGTCTTCCCCCCAATGTCACCACCACCACCATAGGCTCCCTTATCAACTTTTGCCTTGACAACTCATACCTTGAATTCAACGGCTCCTTCTACTCCCAAGACGAAGGAGGTACAATGGGATCCCCCCTCATTGTTGAACTAGCTGAAATCCGCCTTGCTGAAATCGAGACCTTAGCTTTATCCTCATGTCCTGACCCTCCGAACACTTACTCCCATTTCGTTGACGACGGCCTTGGATCTTTCAGAGACAGAAACCACGCAGAATCCTTCCTTACATTCCTTAACTCCCTTACTGAAGACCTCAACTTTACCCAAGAACATCCCTCTACAGACGGAACTATACCCTTCCTTGACGTTCTCATCCACCCTGACAAATCCACATCAGTCTACAGAAAACCCACCCACACCAACCTTTACACCAAGTACTCCTCCTGCACCACCAACTCATCTAAGAACGCAGTCATCCGATCACTGACCAGAAGAGCCCACAACATCTGCTCACCCCAACACCTTGACGACGAACTCCAGACAGTACGACACGTTTGCCTCCAGAACGGCTTCCCTCCTCACCGCATCACCACCATCATGGACGAAGTACAACGGAAATTCACCAACCCCTCTCGCCACCAATCCCTAGCCTCATTCAACCGACAGACCCGTGAACATGCCCTTAGTGTTTCTCTTCCTTTCCATCCCTCCCTATCGAAACCCATCTCCAAGATACTCGGACAACACGACATCAAAGTCACCCACTCCTCTGCTACCTCCCTCCGCAACCTCCTCACCAAAACGAAGACCACACCCCCTACTCACCTCACTCCCAACACCATCTACGAAATTTCCTGCTCACAGTGTCCCTCCAAATACGCCGGACAGACCTACAGACCCTTGGTCCACCGCATGAAAGAACACGAACGATGTTACAGACTCAACAACGCCATCGACGAATCCACAGACAGAATCAAATCAGCCCCTGCACATCATGCCCTGACCACCGGCCACACCATCTCCTGGAACAAAATCGAAGTCCTCAAATCCCTCACCTCACGCTCCCAACTTGACCTCACAGAACATGCAGCTATACAAATACGACAACCAGCCATGAACAGAACAGACCGCGCACCCAAATGTAGTTCTCTCTGGGACCCCATTCTTCCTAAAATTGCCAAATCCTTAAAGTCCAGACCATCTGGCATTTCCTTCTCAACCTCAACAGAAGACTAAATTTTTATTGACATTGTACTGTAATTTTCACTTTCCCACCCATACCTCCCCCACCCTCCATCCCTGAAACCACTCAATCACATATAAGCATTGTCCACCACATCACATTCAGCTGACGACGATTAACACATGTTTATTGAAAGCTTCTACAAGTTAAATCATCGTATCTCTTATATGTTTCTAACCCAACTCCACTCAGTTTAGATTGACGGTGGTATCTGAGTGGCTGGAATCGGGCAAAGATCCGGAAGTGACTCTGCAAGTGTAGGCAGTATCTTCATTCACAAGACTTCCGTCTACTTCAAGAGTTGATGTTTGTTTCCCTCCAGAATGGCTTCCTTGGACAGGGGTGAACTTTTTACCTGAAACTGCTCCTGTACTAGTTTGCCAGGTCACTGTTGCTGTTTCTGTCAATCCAGTGATAACACAGGATATGGTTGTATCAGAGCCTTTCTTCACTTCTTTATTCACTGATTCAACATCTGAAGTAAGTTTTGATAAATGAATATTCTCTAATTTGAAATTTATGACACTCGCGTGATATTACCATTTAGTTTATCTGGTATGAATTGAATTTGTAATGTGGCTGTGAGATAGAAATGAGTACCAAATGAAAAACAGCATTGCAAGATAACTGTTAGCGTTGAAAAACGTACCATAAACGTTTAGATTGACGGTGGTATCCGAGTGGCTGGAATCGGGCAAAGATCCGGAAGTGACTCTGCAAGTGTAAGCAGTATCGTCGTTCACAAGAGTTCCGTCTACAGCAAGAGTTGATGTTTGTGTCCCTCCAGAATGGCTACCTTGGACAGCGGTGAACTTTTCAGCTGGAACTGGTCCTGTACTAGTTCGCCAGGTCACTGTTGCTGTTTCTGTCAATCCAGTGATAACACAGGATATGGTTGTATCAGAGCCTTTCTTCACTTCTTTATTCACTGATTCAACATCTGAAGTATGTTTTGATAAATAAATACTCTCTAATTTGAAATTTATGACACTCGCGTGATATTACCATTTAGTTTATCTGGTATGAATTGAATTTGTAATGTGGCTGTGAGATAGAAATCAGAAATGAGTACATAATCAAAAACTTTGTTGCAAGATAACTTTTAGCGTTGAAAAACGTACCATAAACGTTAAGATTGACGGTGGTATCCGAGTGGCAGGAATTGGGCAAAGATGTTGGATGATTATATTTATAGGTTGTTTGCTTGATTTGATAAAAACCTCATTAAATATACAGAACCACACCCAGATTTAGAAACAGGTACTTTAACAAAACTGCTAATTCAAAATCGTATCCTTTTTCTCAATACGGTGCTTCTATAACGGTACCTAATTCTACTTCAATACGGTACTTACGATAAACGTTGACGGTAGTCTCGAAAGAAATCTTTTCTCCGACAGCGAATGTAAATTCGCATTTGTAAACACCTCCATCATTTTTATCAACATCCGTGTCAGTGTATGTTGACTTCTGAAGCTCATTTGTCCCATCATAAATACCGTTTTTCACTTCTAAAACGCCCACTTGTTGCACGACCTCTACTCCGTCCTTGTACCATTTAATGTCAGATGTTCCAGCTGATTCCGCTATAATGCTAAGAGAACAGTCCAAACTTATTGTCTCTCCAGTGTGGATAAAGACAGGGGTGGTTGGTGTTGGATTGATCTCTGAAATTAAAATTATGAACGATAAAGCTGATGAGAATATTTGGGTACCATGATGGGTTTGCTGATGACATCTTTTACACAGACTCCTAAATATCCTAACACAACTTACGTCTAACGAAAAGGTTTACTTCTTCTGACTTGAAGACTGCATCTCCAAGGTTGAGTGGTTGAGTGTATGTCGCTAGGCAATAGTAAACACCATTGTCAATCCATTGATCAACCGCGTCAATAGTGTACGTGTACTCATTTCCAGTTTGTGCTCCTAAAGGGAAGAATAGAAAATAAGATGGCCGAAATTTTCATTGAAGATCAAACAATTTTAAAGAAATGGTTATAGTGCATTCGACAGATACATGGTTTTTTATAATATTGATAAAATAATTTTTACCTGCTCCTTTGGAAGTACCTTCACCACTACTGAATTTTTGGAACCATTCGATGACTAGAGCAGTGTTAGTAAAGGTTGAAACAGTACAGGTGAAAATAACCTCTTCCCCTGCCACCACACCCTTCGAAACGAGGTCGGCGAACTCTGAATTAAAGATAATTAAGTATATTTATTGTTTATGCATATGTATAGATACTGATGAGTCATGAATTACATGAGTCAGGGTGAAGGTGCTATACCTACAATCTAAAAGTAGTGTTGTAAAATTAATGTCTGACTGGAGTTTTTCCAAACAGCTTATACGCAGCATGCTTAGTAGTAAGAACATAAACGTGGAACACACGATTATAGGTTCGGTGTGTAGGGTGAGAATCCCTGCCACGTTTTTGGTCAGTTTCGCCGGGGCTCATGTCTTCCCTCGAGAGAGCATTAGTGTCTACAGAAAAACTGACTAATCCTAGCGAAGTCCAATCCGAACCACATCTTCCGTCAGAGGTGGTGCTGGGTCAGCTGGTTACTGAACGGATTGGCCTGGAGAAAGGCATAGTCCTGTTATTCTCAAGCTAACCACCGAGGTAGGGGATTGGATGCCATCCGTCACACCTGGTTCTTGGACTTGTCGCCCTCAGACCCACAGAGGTGGGTGCACTGTCGGAGGCCTGTCACCCAGGTTGTCGGTGGTATCTCTCCCTCTGCCTCCCCTTTGGATCATTGTATCCCTCTTTTGACATAACCTCCGCCTGCCCGTTTTCCCGCTTTGTTGTGACCTTTATGGTCGCGGCGAAAGCCATTCCATTTTTTATCATGGAGACCGTTTTCCATTCATTCCCTGCCATGCCGCGCACTTTGCGCGCAGTTTTTCCTTTGTCTACTTTACCCTTACAACTCTGCATCACGCAGACTTTTACAGACCAGTTCCAGGCTCTCTGGTGAGTTGGCATCCACTAGTGGAATCGCCGACTTATTAGAGGAGCCAGGGACACCTAAGGCTGTCCCTAACGGGGCGCCCAGCTCAGGTGTTTCCACCGCAGAACCCGACCTGACTCTCCTAGCTACTAGGACAGACTGTAGAATACTGACTAGAGAAGACGCATTCCATACCCATGCAGAGATTGCTATAGCGGAGGTAGACTTCCTAGAATCACTAGACACTAACCCGCACGACATAAAATTTATCTACAATTCGAGACAGGCACAAACATATTTTAATCAAATCATTATCCCAGCCCTCTCACATGGATCAGTACAAAGAACAGCTCTACTTCTGATCACAGGAACCATCTCCTCCTCACCGACCTGTTACTTAGAGGTCCTCACCCAACTCCCCCCTCTTGACCTCAGGATTCACTCCATTTCTCTCATAACTTTCCTCAGGCTTAACATCACTTCGTCCGCCTCAAACGGACTTAGAGACGGAAAGCTGACATCTCACTCTATCCTTCTCTCCGACCAGCTCAAGAAGATACTTCCACCTCTTTTCCTTTTAGATATGCAACACTTTTAGACATGTAACACCAGCCTCACCCAACCTGTCACAATCATTCAAAACGGATTTTATACTCGAACGCTCGGAAGCCCTAGTTCAGATCCCACTCCTCCATAAATCTGACACACTAGTTGGGTACACTGACAGCTCGGTGAAGAACAATCTTGCAGGAGCGGGGTTCGTCCTCTATCTTAACTCAGCGACTATTTCAGAACATTACCACCAAACACCACAATCATCTTCCAGGCAGAGTTGCTGGCTTTACTCCACCTCTGCATTCACCTCCCAAGACCAACTACGCAGCTACTGAGCTCCACATCTGCATCGACAGCTAAGCAGTTCTTCATGCCTTATCGGGCACCATCACCCAATCCCACCTCATCATAGACACTCTAGGAGCCCTCAACGCAGTTAGAAGGACACTCTCCGTCACCCCCCACTGGGTACCGGCGCATTGATGAATTCAAGGCAATCAATCAATTCAAGACAAAGGGCCGGCATCTCCTCCCACTGGACCTCCTCCTTTGGCTCCTTACACTCACTCCTCTCTTTCTTATATTCTAGACAGTAACTTTTTCCGACCTCACTTTTATCGTATATTACTCTTTAGATCCTCCACTGTTTCCCACCATTCCAACATTATTAGTTTCTTTGACACACACCTTGACGTAAGACGACAAAATAGAGACAAGAGTAGAATTCTTACACATCTATTCACAGGATGCAGTCATCTCAGATATTTCCAAAACAAGACTGGCAACGAACCCAACAGCATGCAAATAGTGTGATGAAGACAATGAAACTACAGCACACTATCTCACAAGCTGTCCAGCATTCTCCTTACACAGGAAATACTACGTTTGTAACTATACCATCAGAGAGGATACCTTCCATCACACCTAGCCTTCTCTACCAGTAACACTGTGGGGATCGCTAGAGCTACCAAGTATCTAGATTTCTAAGAACCTCCCTAGTCTCTTTTATATTAGCCTTAGTAATCGTAATTGTCCCTCTAACACGATCACTCTCCCCTCCCCAGATTGTTCCCAGACTTGCAACAGGTCCTGCTAGCCTGCCAGTTCTAAGAGCTCATTAGTCCACAGGACAGTCGGCACTTCTAGCTTGACCCAATGCGTGTCTCTCTCTCCCTCCCCTCTTCTTTCTTGATTGTGGAAGGGACAACCACGTTACTTACACAGTTTCCTTTTATTTCTCAATCACATGATTCAGTGACCTCCCCAGCCCTCTATATCTTTAACATGATACCTCCCAGGACCATAGTATACCATACTAGACATTTCTTTAACTCCTCGTTACAGCAAGACTAATACAACACGGAAAAGAAAAGAAATAGAGACAAGATTACGACAGCCATGGACTCTTACAAAAGACTAACAGAAGGAACATCCCGGTTTGATCTTTCTGAACTATGCATCTTATATCGGTATAGTATTGGTATCTATTTATTACCTATTGTTATTTTTTATCTTTGCTAGTTAATCAGGTTTTTGGGTACCGGGCCATCCTGGTTACCCTGCTATGGGCCGTTCCCCTGGCTTCTGCAGGTCTAGTTTACCCATATATATATAGGTTTGGTGATCTTACCAAAGATCTGGCCAAACACTATTCAATAAAATTTGGCTTGATCCGACTATCCAAACTATCAAATAAATGCAAAAATGAACCTTCATTTGAAAAAAATGAACACGAATATTTTTCGATTTGACAAATTCCTCGAACCAGTGGTGGTAGTAAGTCATACCAAAAAGAATTATTTCAATTGGGAACTCAGTGATTGAGCTATTAAGGCCAACATATGGGTACTGACTTTTGGCCCACCCTATAGGTTTGATGATCTTACCGACAACATTGAGTTCCATGGTTGCAGTGAGAGCGGGATTATTTTCTTCGTAACACTCAATAGTGTCAGTACTGTCAGCATTTGTCAAGGATGACAGCGTCAAAGTGGACTTCCTTGATTTGTTGTCTGTATTGTAGTTATCCTGCCGAGCAGAGGTCGTCAGATCAACGTAGTTCTTGTCGTTCTCAGTATAGTCGTCAGCATGTTTTCTCCACTTCAGGTTGACTCCTTCCTTCGCTATCACAACACAAGTGAACATCGCTGATTCTCCGGTCGGTACGATGGCGTACTTCGCTGGATTTATCTCGATACCTGGAATAAGGAGCATATGAGATCAATAAGTTAAAAAAATATTCACTTCAAAACTTATAAAATTAAAAAAGGTACGGGTAAAATAGCATGACATGCGATTTCTGTTCTCATAAATCGGCAGTTATGACTTTTAAAGTAATGTAACTTAAAATAAATATTTGACTTACTGGCGACTTTGATGTTGGTTGTACTGGTAAGTGTCAGGCCGGCTGTAAGATCGGTATATAAAGCAGTACAAGTGTACTTGCTGCCGTCCATGTCAAGAGCAAGAGTGATCGTTAACTCGCTTTGAACCCACGTTTTTCCTGACGTGTCTTCTGTACCTGCTGTTGGTCTCCTCAGCGACTGTAGCTCCCTTTAACCACGTGAAGGCTGGTTTGTTCTGGTCGACTGTGTTCCACTCTGCCTTACAAAGCAAGACTACACTATCTCCAGCAGAACCTTCAGTTGACTCTGCAAGCTCTTGTGTCCAGGTCATCACATCAAGAGTAGTAGAATCGGAAGTTTCATCCGCACTTTTGTAGCATTTAAACTCCGCATCCTTATCTTTAGTATCAACCACGTAATCGTACTCAGCATTCGTCTTGCCGTGTTCATAGCTCCTCCTAGTTGCTGTAACTTCCTGGGTTCCGTCCCAGAAGTTAAGGTCACTCATCTCCTCGCGAGACCCAGCTGAACAGGAGAAAGTAACGGTAACACCAACCCCATAGGTACTGTACATCTTGGTCGGGTTCGTCATCTCGATCACGTTCAAGTTAACATCGAGAAAGATGCCAACCGGCTTGAAAGTAGGTCCATCAGTAAAAGCAAATTCACAGCTGTACTGGGATGCAGCAGCATCGGTTGGAAGAGTCAGAATGTAAGTGTTAACATTATTAATCCTGGTTATACCGGACGGATCAAACCCTGTTGGCCCAGACCATGTTACACCGGTAGTAGTGTCACTCGACTCAATTGTACATGACAATTGTAACCCGTCATCTCGGTAGCTGTAGATATGGGCATCGGAAGGTATTATGGTGACCAGCCGTACAACAAGGTTTCCTTCAGACTTATAGATATCTCCGTTGTCATATGAGAATGCACACGTGTATTTCCCAGCAAGAGTGACTGCAATATTGGCACTAGAGATAGTCAGAGTAGTTTCCATTTTTCCGCTATTGATCTGAGAGTTAGTTACTATGACGTAGTCACCCTCGTTTTTTAGTTCCGTGTTTTTCGATATATCTGCTTCATTGTAGTTGAGGTACCTGCAATTGTGATGTATACTGAACACTGATCAATGATTTGTAAGATACAGTCCAGATACATTCCACAGCCAAAGTTAAGTACTAAATAAGTAAAAACTGAAAGACCTAACTAGCATAATACTTACCATGCAGTAGAATCAGGGACAGCCCCCTCAACAAAGGAATGCAGACTCACCATGCAGTAGAAGCAGGGACAGCCCCCTCAACAAAGGAATGCAGACTCACCATGCAGTAGAAGCAGGGACAGCCCCCTCAACAAAGGAATGCAGACTTACCATGCAGTAAAAGTAGGGACATCCCCAGCAGCTCCTACTCCTAGTTCGCAAGTAAAGGAAACAGAATCCTTCCCAATCGAGTAGTAGTTCGCATCCAGTGGCGTAACAATTCCTAGAAGATATGAATTAAATTGAACAACAGAAGCAGGATATATAGAATATAGTCAATCAAATCTTAAATTAAATATTCTGTACGCGATGGGACACTTTGACATATGGATTCTGTTTTCTACATACCTTACGAGACATATTTATTATTTATCCTCGACGAAATTCCGGTGACCTAAATGATTTGGGAACGAAAACATGGGATTTTTTGCCGAAAACCTACTCATTTTGTACCCCAAACTAAATTATGGTATTTTGTGATTTTTTCATTTCTTTATTTTACAAAAATAAAACCCAGTACGTATTTGAGAAAATCAATGAAATAAAATATGAAATTTGAAAAAGTACAAGTCAATTTCTTCTTGATCTTCTTTCAGGGACGTTTCTCTCTACAGTGTAGTCCCAGGTGTAATACTAGTGTTCATTTGTTAGATGAATCATATTGATAACTTACTATATTGGTAGTAAATCGACAAAGTCATGATTAAAGAAAATACGTGAAAAATAATTTGGGGGAAAAAATTATGGTGACCTGAATTTTGGTAGTCAGAAAAAATTGTATTTTTCGGAAAACCACCGACTTTCGTACCTTGTCAATATGTCTCGTAAGGTATTATGTAGACGTTTCGGGATTAGACCCTCTGTAAGCCATTTTACTCATAACTTTTGTGGCCAAATTATACTACAAATACCTCGGAAGAGTAGAGTTGTAGAAGCTTCCATGGTTTCTTGCGGGAGATTTGTGGAGAAGATAAACTCACACTTGATAATTTTTTGTGCGTCTGTGTATTCTCGGCCGGTTATTGTCAAGGTGGTTTTTCTGAGAGGTTTTTTTTGTAAAAAAAAAACAAACATTTTACCTGGTATTGGTTGTCAGGGAAGAACATAAAACATGGATACATATACATAAACAGCAAATATATATTCCAAAAAGTAAACAAATGTATTTAAAACCTTTCGTTATTTGTAGAACCATGGAACACTCCTGTGGTGACAGTAAAACCGGTATCAGCAGTATCGGCTGATGTCTTCGCTGAACCGTCAACTCTCCACTGAACGGTATCCGGGTCGTTGGTACCGGCGTAAATACAGCTGATATCCACTGAGGCCTGATCAGAAATTGTTTGCGCATCGGGCGCCTCAGAGATTGCTGAAAATAATCAGTTAGGAGAAATATTGTAAAAAAGGTCCTGAGACAAGGAAGTGAGTTGATAAAGAAAATGGAGGAAATATTTTAACAACATCTTACAGCGGACAACAAAGTTGCTTTCGGAGGCCAGCGCATTGTTGTAAGAGTCTGTTTTGAAGTTCACGATACATTTTACTAGCTTTCCGCTGGTTTTCGTGAGACTGGTTACTGTCAACGTGCTCTCCCATGTGCCATCGGCAAGGTAGGATCCCTGTAGATAACGGAATTACATCATTTGTCTCCCCCGAATGATACTAAGACCGACCAGCCTTGTCTGGGCTAGTATGACCGATACTAATAACTGATTTAACTGGCACACAAATTCATTACATAACCAACATTTTTCATGTATTCCTTACGTCAACTGTTGACCACCCGGTATGTCTAGCTTCGTCCCATATATCCCCATCTAAATTCCAGGAGATGCTCTCAATACCGTCATCTCCCTTGTAAGTGCAGGTAAATACCTTAGTAACCATGGTAACCTTGCTAGTATCGGCTGGCAGGTTCACCAGAGTGATCTCGTCTAGTTTTTGTTGGAGCTCTGAAGATTTCATATTAAGAGCAGGTCGATTTGAGTTGTGGGTTTCCGGTTATGACAATTATGTGTTTGATTTATCTTATTTCGAACTTATAATATTATTGGAAATTATTGAACATGAATTAATTCATGCTATCAACAATAAAAAATAGAAAAGGCCTTAAACTAAAAAATGAAGCTTCACACAAAATTTTATAAACTATAATAACATAATCAGGAGAATATAAATTGAAGTGAAACAGGTGAGGAATGTGGCAAGTTGCCAGGAATGTGGCAAGTTGCCAGGAATGTGGAAAGTTGCCAGGAATGTGGCAAGTTGCCAGGAATGTGGCAAGTTGCCAGGAATGTGGCAAGTTGCCAGGAATGTGGCACTAGTTTCCAGGAATGTGGCAAGTTGCCAGGAATGTGGCACTAGTTGCCAGAAATGTGGCACTAGTTGCTAAGAATGTGGCACTAGTTGCCAGAAATGTGGCACTAGTTGCTAGGAATGTGGCACTAGTTGCCAGGAATGTGGCAAGTTGCCAGAAATGTGGCACTAGTTGCTAGGAATGTGGCACTAGTTGCCAGAAATGTGGCACTAGTTGCTAGGAATGTGGCACTAGTTGCCAGGAATGTGGCAAGTTGCCAGGAATGTGGCACTAGTTGCCAGGAATGTGGCAAGTTGCCAGGAATGTGGCACTAGTTGCCAGAAATGTGGCACTAGTTGCTAGGAATGTGGCACTAGTTGCCAGAAATGTGGCACTAGTTGCTAGGAATGTGGCAAGTTGCCAGGAATAACTACCTCTAATAAAGAGATCAACAGGTGCGCTTTCCCGAGAGTATGTTTTACCATCTACAGTGTAGTCTGCTTTACACTTGTAAACACCAGCATTATCATGGGTGGCACTGAAACACACATATCGGATCAGTTTTACGTTATTGTTTCGGCGAAAAACTTTCATCTGATGATTAAAACAAAATAAAATAACGTACAACAATATATCATCACATTCTAACCTGTCGTATACTAGAGTGGAGCTGAAAACAGGGCTCTCATCAGCCCATCGGATGTACTGATCTTCAACCACTTCATCTCCATCTGCTGTCTCCTGTATCCAGGAGACAGTGACCGGGTTATCCGGCGGGTTCTTTACCTGCAGTCATATCTTAATGCCATACACATATTACACATATTACACATATTACACATATTACACATATTACACATATTACACATATTACACATATTACACATATTACACATATTACACATATTACACATATTACACATATTACACATATTACACATATTACACATATTACACATATTACACATATTACACATATTACACATATTACACATATTACACATATTACACATATTACACATATTACACATATTACACATATTACACATATTACACATATTACACATATTACACATATTACACATATTACACATATTACACATATTACACATATTACACATATTACACATATTACACATATTACACATATTACACATATTACACATATTACACATATTACACATATTACACATATTACACATATTACACATATTACACATATTACACATATTACACATATTACACATATTACACATATTACACATATTACACATATTACACATATTACACATATTACACATATTACACATATTACACATATTACACATATTACACATATTACACATATTACACATATTACACATATTACACATATTACACATATTACACATATTACACATATTACACATATTACACATATTACACATATTACACATATTACACATATTACACATATTACACATACTACACATATTACACATATTACACATATTACACATATTACACATATTGCTGTCTCCTGTATCCAGAAGACAGTGGCCGGGTTATCCGGCGGGTTCTTTACCTTGCACGACAAACTACCGTACTCTCCTGTTAGGAAGCCTATCCTTACTGGGTCCTCGCTGATACCGATGTCTGGGAATAGGGAGAATATTTTCAGGGATGCAAATACTATTGGGTTTTGAGGATTTTGAACTTCAGCTTTTCGGCACGCTGATTATATTAGCTGTAATGGAATAAAAATAAAATGAAATCCAGTAATTCATCAAATCTGTATTTTAGCAGTTACCAATTATCAGTGAAAACTAAATAGGGAAAATACATAACAGTTGCGCTCTCTAAAGAAGTCTAAACCGAGCAAAGAACTGTTACCTACCAAGAACGGTGACTGCAGCGACAGTACTTTCCACAGTTGTTTCCCCGAACGTGGCACTGCACTTATAAGATCCCGAGTCGCTTATTTGAGCACTGCTAATTCTAAGTTCACTCGAGGTTTCAAACAGTGTAGGGGATTTTGGAGTTTCAGGAGTTGGGTTTGATTCAACCCCCTCAACGGTTTTAGTCCTGTAATAAAGGTGGGTTTGATTCAACCCCCTCAACGGTTTTAGTCCTGTAATAAAGGTGGGTTTGATTCACCCCCCTCAACGGTTTTAGTCCTGTAATAAAGGTGGGTTTGATTCAACCCCCTCAACGGTTTTAGTCCTGTAATAAAGGTGGGTTTGATTCAACCCCCTCAACGGTTTTAGTCCTGTAATAAAGGTGGGTTTGATTCAACCCCCTCAACGGTTTTAGTCCTGTAATAAAGGTGGGTTTGATTTAACCCCCTCAACGGTTTTAGTCCTGTAATAAAGGTGGGTTTGATTTAACCCCCTCAACGGTTTTAGTCCTGTAATAAAGGTGGGTTTGATTCAACCCCCTCAACGGTTTTAGTCCTGTAATAAAGGTGGGATTGATTCAACCCCCTCAACGGTTTTAGTCCTGTAATAAAGGTGGGTTTGATTTAACCCCCTCAACGGTTTTAGTCCTGTAATAAAGGTCGGTTTGATTCACCCCCCTCAACGGTTTTAGTCCTGTAATAAAGGTGGTTGACTTCGCAGGTGTGCGGAAAATACAGTTTAATCAGTTTAAACTTTAACAGAAAATTTGGTGAAACAATAAACCGATTTTAATTGTAATGTATTGATGTAATCAATCAGATAATTTGTAAACATTTTCGAAGTGTGTGTAAATTTGAGCAGCAATAGAGTGGAAAAGTTATACAACTAAGAAAACAACAAATTAAAGAAAGAAAAAACTGAATTCATTTTAACTGAATCTATTTTAACTGAATCTATTTAACTGAATCTATTTTAAGTGAATCTATTTTAACTGAATCTATTTTAACTGAATCTATTTCAACTGAATCTATTTTAACTGAATCTATTTTAACTACAGGGTGGGCCAAAAGTCAGTACCCATACGTTGGTCTTAATAGCTCCGCCGTGTTTTATATTTGAGAGATGTTGCTTTGCAGATGGCATACTGTACTTACTGGTTCGAGGATTCCGTCGTCAAAATTTGAAAATTCGAATATTTTAGACCACGCCCATTCAATATTAAAACACCTATATTGTTTTCTCTGGACATGCTGAACGCCTAATTTTTTTCAGAGACGGTAGATTATCAAATGTTGCATATGATCTGAAAACATGAGGCAAAACGGATTAGAAATGACGAAGTTATCAAGCATTTTCTGTATCTCGTTAACAAAATTGACTGGGTGATTATGTGACACCGTGACACGACACCTTAATTGGGCACCCTTAACAATTCCCATAATGTTTAACGGGGTAGTTAACGGGGTCACCTTATCACGTGATTAGGTAAACCAATCACCTGATCACACGTAATTAATAAACTCGTTATGCTTCATATCTCGGTCATCTGAGAAGCTACAGTTCTAATTCTTTCAGGACAAACGTAATTCGAATGGCCAAACACAATTCAATAACATTTAGCTTGATCTGACTATCCAAACTATCAAATAAATGTGAAAATGAACCTCCATTTGAAAAAAATGAACGCGAATATTTTTCGAGTTGACAAATTCCTCGAACCAGTGGTGGTAGTAAGTCATACCAGAAAGAAGTATTTAAATTGGGCACTCAGTGACTTAGCTATAAAGGCCAACGTATGGGTACTGACTTTTGGCCCACCCTGTAGATTTATTTTAACAACACATACCACGTGATTGTGGTGGCAGCATCTCCCTGTACAGTACAGCTGAGGGTGAGGGCCGCTCCGACTTCACTAAACGTGTTGTCTGGTTGCTCACTGTAGCCCACCACGTACACCTTTACCTTTTTAGTTATAGGTAGGGGCGGTAATGATGCTCCATCGTTACCGTACGTGCCTAAGTGTTGGATGATTAGAGAAACCGATCGTTAGTTACTTCCGGTGATAATTCAGTAAAATCCTCCATTTATTAACAACATTTGTTAAACCAATCCCATGATGGCCGTTAGGGACCGTTGGATTGAGCAGAAGATCGGCCATCAACATTGATATTCATTTCTTTAACAATAATTGAAAAATAGCCATGTATGAAAAAGAATGTCAGGGTTTTGGAGGTGGTCCGCTCCAGAGTCCCAGACACCATTATCCCCTTTCCTACCTGTACAAGTATAATCTGCCGTGTCTGCCAGTTCAGCAGTTTTTGTCACAGTTTTGTGTTTGTACGGCGACGTTTCACCATCCAATACGCCTGTTGGCTGAAGTGTTTTTATTTATGTTCTTCTTGATCGTATTCGTTTAGTGTTCCCCGAGAAAGTTTGTAATTAACCTTTTGTCTTCCTACGAAATGATAATTATGAATTTTACATACTGTTTTGTCAACATCATAAAACCATTCTATCTCTCTGTCCACATATTGGCTATCAGCCTTCATTTGGCACATGAGAGAAAGGCTTTCCCCAGCTACAATTAGAGTTTTGGCGTCAGCAGGATCGACCTCGACGTCAGAAACAAAAATCTGAATGTCTGAAAAATACATGTTTTGTAGGTAAAGAAGAAATAAAACGATAAGTTATAGATGTGGATTCTCGTGGATTCTCGTTTACTTTCAAGGTGGCGGTTCTGCTCAGCAGGAGACAAAGGTGATACAAATTTTGTATTATGGAACGCTTGTAACGCTTGTAACTCCTTCTTGTTACCCCTTTTGAAGGTCCCGAATTATTTTATGAACGAAAGCTTAATAATAACCGGGAAATCGACCTTGTTGTTAACTCATTTTTGTGACTGTTTCTGACCCAAAATTGCACGAAAAAATGAATTAACTAGGTTTCAGAACTATAAACACTTCCTTATCTCTCACAAGCTGCTATAAACATTTCTTTATGAAAATTGTGTTAGTACCTGTTCGATCAGTTAAGGTGACGATTGCCCCGATCTTTCGGTTTCAGCTTAACCCCCTAGGCCCTAGGTCATGAGTAGAACAAGCGTTCCATAATACAAGCGTTCCATAATACAAAATGTGCATCACCTCTTTCTCCTGCTGAGCAGAACCGCCACCTTAAAAGTAAACAAATGTAGCTCACCTCCCCACGAAAATCCACATCTATTATACATATTAATTGTTAATACGTTAAATTTAAAGTTCGTAAATTTACACGCTTCATTTCCATATTGATCCTATTAGTAGTGATCGAGCATTTACCACAGAATAATCCTTTAATTTAATATTCTAGATCCTTATATGGGCATAACGTGACGTGAAGGATCCTTGCTGAAGTTCTACCAGACACCAAAATAATTTGAAATAGACAAATTTGTTTTCGTAAGATGGCCATGGATCATCGAACTAGGATAATCGTGCACAATATTATTTTTGGTTAGAATGATGCTAGAATAAGTAACGATGCTAGAATATAAGTGTTCGTTCACTTATTTTTGTACTTTTAATTCTTCTATTAAAAGTACTGAAAATGTAGCATGATATCTTCGCTTAAAATCTTGAAGTAATATTATCGGGTTAGTTCTAAACAAAAATATTTTAAAATTAAATAATTTTTTAATTAAAAAAGGTATCATTTAATAAAACTTATCCTGACCTAGGACAGTGAGGTCACCAGTTATGGACTGTTCACTGAGCAGTGGAGATAGGTAGTTCAATCTACATGAGTAGGATGTAGTGTGAGTATCATCCAGAACTTTGATAGTCAAAATAGAAGTTAGTGCATCTGTATCGATATCAAATCCGTAGTTGTCATCTGGACTAAGGAGTTGCGACTCGCCCTTGAACCAAGTTATATCTGAGTTATCCGACTCATTTTCGACGACACATGTAAGTGACGCTTCGCTACCCATTTTTAAGGAGGGATTATTCGGTAATGTCAGCGTTATTTCTGAAAAACGAATTTTTTCAATAACTTATAAAAGAATTTTTGACGAGTATTTGAGTAACAACCAAAGCATGCATACTCACCGTTTTATTGATAATCGATGAGGTGGTTCATTTCTGCCTTATTCTAAAACCGGAGCATTGGGCATCTCATGATCATCTTAACAAATATATAATTATAAATTTAAACAAATATATAATCTAAACAAATATATAATCTAAACAAATATATAATCTAAACAAATATATATATACATATCACCGGAGACTCGCGGGCGGAACAAAATATTGCACGCGCACGCGCGTGCAATATTTCATATGTCCCCGAGGGCGCTAGCCCGAGGAGGACATATTTTCGTATAGCACGGAGGGCCCATCGGGCCCGAGTGCTATACGATTTTTCCGCCCGCGGGTCGAGGTGATGTGGATTATATCCACCAGCGGGCGTATTACAGTTAATATATAATTTTATAAATAAACAATGGAGCTTGTATAAAAGCCAACTCTAGAAAAGGTCGCCACTAATTGTTGTAACCATGGTAACACGTCACGTGTTCAATGTAAGCCAATCATAAAGGGCTGTGTCGTATATAGGGGCTGGAGATGCACTGCATTCCTGGGCCCTGGGAATAATGAATGTAATGTCAATGACGATGAATATCAATAATATAGGGGGATTATAGTGCTGATGTGTATTATGTAGTGTGTTATAATAACTTTGATATAAATCAAAGTATCATGTCATCTGCTCACGAGCTGCATGAGCAGCCCTACCGGACACAAAATTAAAATGTATATATAGTCAGTGTAATAAGGAATTTCACATGGAGACGATACAGAAACTGAAAATATTTTAGAGAACTCCGGGCTATATTGCTACTGGTCAAATTAAATGTCACTTGTTAGCGGGCTATATCATGAGCGGGCTGTAGAGATATCGGGCCCTTTGACAGCGGGCTGGTGAGAGCCCGCTATGCGAAAAAGCGCACGCTGGTGGATATAATCTGGTAATCTTGTTTTGCTCTTATGAGTGGGTCAATCATTTATTTTTAATTGTAGTTGACGAAATGAGAGTCTCCACTCAGTGTGTTAAAACATAATTCTTTGTCGACGTTTCGGCTACATGCCTTTGTCCTGTTTATGACAAAGGCATGTAGCCGAAACGTCGACAAAGAATTATGTTTTAACACACTGAGTGGAGACTCTCATTTCGTCAACTACAATTAAAAATATATAATCTAAACAAATATATAATACTTCCAAATTAATGGATAAAACAGATGCTTACTTCTACAGCCGGCAGGGTACCCGTTGTTATCGAGGGAAACGTCACATGATATAATTTGTGTTTCCTGATCTGCGTACTGGTAGCCACTATCACACACGATGGTGGAATCCTCGCCATCTGCCAACCGGGTACCAGAAGGTGTCGTTCCGGTTATCGTATTCTCCACGCTCGGGACCGTACACACGGCTAAAAAGGTTAATTTCGTTATAATGATAATGAAGAATATTTTATCGATGTCCAATGTCCATGGTCCAACGTTTTACAATTTTTTCGGTTTGATAATTCACGACCAAATTACCAAACCACAAAAATTAGTAGCAAGTGCACTAATCAAGTCCACATGACAGTCGAACGGCAGACAGTCAGCAGTTTTAGTTACCTACAATTCTTTTGAATAATCTTTGATTCTGAATGAAAGATTTTACATAGTACATGATACTGTATTACATAGTACATGATACTGTATTACATAGTACATGATACTGTATTACATAGTACATGATACTGTATTACATAGTACATGATACTGTATTACATAGTACATGATACTGTATTACATAGTACATGGTTAGAGCAAGTTGATGATGATTATACTGTACTGATACAATATCCCAAATGATTTTTTCAAATTAACGAATCAGTGACACAGATAGGGCAATTTAAGAATCAAAAGAGAAATCTCAATCACACCACAGTTCAAAATGTATGTGCGATTATTTTCGGGAAATCAAAATCGTCCGGATATGATAGTTTATCTCTATTATAATTCAGAAAATTCTGTACACTGTACGTACGACCGCCCACGTGCAAATTAGACGAAAAATAGAAATTTAGGTAACAACCAAAACGTTCCATAGCAACGGTGTTTTAATGCACACGTCATGCACGTGCAAAGATTGTTTTAACGTCATTTTGATCGGTTTTGTGGTAATTACGTTGTGTTTAAAGTGTTTTATATTTAAATCGGCTGTATCTTCAGTTGGGATGGATATTTTTGATGCGATTAAAACTTTCTTTCAAAGAATACTACTAGCTTCGTCCCTGTTACCACGGGCTATCTAGTTTATTTATATTTTCAAATTATCCGGAAGTAGCAGGTGCATGGTTCTGTGTGCCACGGTAAATAATAGAAAATTAAAATGGGCTGTTCAAATCATTATCTCAATCATTCCTTACGATGCAACCTGTAAACTTACTGCCTGTAACGAAATATTTCAATTCCTACAATTGAACGTTAACTCATTGGTAACCTCAAATCGTTAAGACTACTAGCAGGAACCCGTATAACCCTAAAATAGTGTCAAGACTCAAGAGACTAAATAATAATTACCAATTTAATTCGCGTTTTTGACACCACTTGGGGGTTCAAATTTTGGGCTCTAAAACTCCTATTCCTTGGCCAATTTTTTATTTTTTCATGCTGATTTGGAGGCCATTAAAGCATTTGACCCAGTCAAAAAAGTATCAGTTGTATATCTTTTACGCTTTTTGCGGAAAGTCGCGTTAAAATTGATGCCGTGGTGTCAGTAAAATGGTACGGATAAACACATCCATATATATCGTCTCGCTTTATATATAGTAAGATGAATATGATATCATATCAACTCACAATTCCAACGACGCCAAAGCGTACATGTGGCAGTAGAAACGATAAACCAAACCTAAGCAGGCCATACCAACCATTAAAAATAACTGGAGTGACTGCAGCTTATGGTAGATTAAATTTAAACATTAGAAGTTTTTAGTAGGTTGCATATTAAAAAATTTAAAAAATTTTTTTTTTTAAACAAAAAAAAACATTAGAAGTTAAACTTACTGGCGCAATCCTCAGCCTTGGTGCTTCCATCACTTACAGTTCCTAACGAGCCAGCACATTCTACACATTCTGTAGCCTCCGCCAAGCTGAAAGTAAGTGTCAGAATATGAAATGTTATTTAATGAAATGTTAAGCACACTGTTCGTAACTTTCAAACTACCTTAACAATTCGATTGACAGGGTCGTTATTGGGCGAGATTAGGTTAAACACTGTCACGTGTCAGAACCTGTTTACCTAATACCTCCGCACCAGTAGCGCATTGAACTTACCTGTATGAGTATAGAGGACACGTTTCACATTGAACTCACCTGTATGAGTCTAGAGGACACGTTTCACATTGAACTCACCTGTATGAGTCTAGAGGACACGTTTCACATTGAACTCACCTGTATGAGTCTAGAGGACACGTTTCACATTGAACTCACCTGTATGAGTATAGAGGACACGTTTCACATTGAACTCACCTGTATGAGTCTAGAGGACACGTTTCACATTGAACTCACCTGTATGAGTCTAGAGGACACGTTTCACATTGAACTCACCTGTATGAGTCTAGAGGACACGTTTCACATTGAACTAACCTGTATGAGTATAGAGGACACGTTTCACATTGAACTCACCTGTATGAGTATAGAGGACACGTTTCACATTGAACTAACCTGTATGAGTCTAGCGGACACGTTTCACATTGAACTCACCTGTATGAGTATAGAGGACACGTTTCACATTGAACTCACCTGTATGAGTATAGAGGACACGTTTCACATTGAACTCACCTGTATGAGTCTAGAGGACACGTTTCACATTGAACTCACCTGTATGAGTATAGAGGACACGTTTCACATTGAACTCACCTGTATGAGTATAGAGGACACGTTTCACATTGAACTCACCTGTATGAGTATAGAGGACACGTTTCACATTGAACTCACCTGTATGAGTCTAGAGGACACGTTTCACATTGAACTCACCTGTATGAGTCTAGAGGACACGTTTCACATTGAACTCACCTGTATGAGTCTAGAGGACACGTTTCACATTGAACTCACCTGTATGAGTATAGAGGACACGTTTCACATTGAACTCACCTGTATGAGTCTAGAGGACACGTTTCACATTGAACTCACCTGTATGAGTCTAGAGGACACGTTTCACATTGAACTTACCTGTATGAGTCTAGAGGACACGTTTCACATTGAACTCACCTGTATGAGTCTAGAGGACACGTTTCACATTGAACTCACCTGTATGAGTCTAGAGGACACGTTTCACATTGAACTCACCTGTATGAGTCTAGAGGACACGTTTCACATTGAACTCACCTGTATGAGTCTAGAGGACACGTTTCACATTGAACTCACCTGTATGAGTATAGAGGACACGTTTCACATTGAACTGTCCTGTATGAGTCTAGAGGACACGTTTCACATTGAACTAACCTGTATGAGTCTAGAGGACACGTTTCACATTGAACTAACCTGTATGAGTCTAGAGGACACGTTTCACATTGAACTCACCTGTATGAGTCTAGAGGACACGTTTCACATTGAACTCACCTGTATGAGTCTAGAGGACACGTTTCACATTGAACTCACCTGTATGAGTATAGAGGACACGTTTCACATTGAACTAACCTGTATGAGTATAGAGGACACGTTTCACATTGAACTCACCTGTATGAGTATAGAGGACACGTTTCACATTGAACTCACCTGTATGAGTCTTGAGGACACGTTTCACATTGAACTCACCTGTATGAGTCTTGAGGACACGTTTCACATTGAACTAACCTGTATGAGTCTAGAGGACACGTTTAACATTGAACTCACCTGTATGAGTCTAGAGGACACGTTTCACATTG